AGCACTTGCATTAAATTGTTCACAAGACATTTCCATAATGGGTTACCTGGACAACCTTCTGCTGAGGGAACAGTCGGCACAGACTTCTTTAGTCGATGTCCAGCAGACTATTCAAATGCTGTAGAGGTTTAGGTGGATCCTGAACCTTCAGAAATCTGTGCTGTACTGACTCATCACTTTGAGTATCAGGGCCTCCTCCTGGACATTTGTGTTCAGGGTCTTTCTTTAATGGAAGAAGCTCACCACCCTCTGTTCCCATGTCCTGACAGGTCAGTTCAGGAGCCAACCAACTCTTTGTTTCTGCATGAGGGTCCTGATAAAGTCATTGATGATGCAATGCGTGTAGGGTGGAGTCTTGTGGTGGGCGGAGCTTTAGAAGCACAGGAGAGAGTGCATCCAGCCCATTAATAAGGGGATTAGTGTGGCTAGACCTTTTATTTTAAGTGGACCTTTACCCTATTGGCTAAAAAATTACATCAGAAAACATATGAAATCATGTTTCATTTATTAGTTAAACATCTTTTCATTTTACTTACAATTTCTTGTTTTCTACTTCCTGGTTCTCTTTGGCAAAAGTGATGTTATGTGTCCAAGTCTTGCATCCTGGGAGGGCTATATCACCAGTGCATTGCTGGGAAATTGTATCTGTAATCTCACAAGGTCTCAGGGAAAGGCATTTTCCTCCCCTGAGATGATGTGCATGGTCACATGTCCTAGTCACATGTGTCAGAGTTCCAGAAAGTAAAGGGAGATGGATTTATCTGTCCTTATTAAAAATGGCTACTTTGAGAAGAATGGGGAGGAAAAGAAAAGCAAGGTATGCAAAGAATAAAAAGCCTGCAATTATTTATAAGTATCTGTTTGTAACTGTCAAAGACAAAAAGGCAGCGTTTGTGTAGATATTTATAACTACAAGCCTGTTCAGAGGCAGTGGAGTATTAAATTGTGTCGGCACACTAGGTCATATCAGTTACATCTGCACCGTTCTACCCACAGCACAGCATGCACTTTGGCTTTTTATTGTTATTTTTACAGTAGATTTTAACAATATCTATATATACAATATGCGGTTTCGTTCCTTCATGAGATGCACATGTGAAATCTCTAACGGCTGTTATGTACTGTAGACACACAACATAATACAAGCACTGGGATATTTGTTCTATAATTCTTTCCCTCATGTCACTCACTCTAGCCCAGACTTTCTCAACATTTTCAGCCTGGAAAAAACCCTTAAAATTTTGGGGAACCCTTGAAATAATTTGGTGATCTACAGCTCATGTAGTACTTTGGTGTCACTTAGAAGGATTCTATATGCAGTGTTTGACAGCGGAGCTCTTAACTTTCTACAGATACATGCAGAAAAACAGACAGGAAAAAGGTGACATAAAAATGAAAAAGCATAAAAATAATGTAAAAGATTAAATTGCACCTAAAAAACATGTAATGAAAGACTAGAGAAATTCTAACACCTTTATTATGTCAAGGTCCGCTTAAATCGTCTACAGCCTTAAATACAAAGCAATAACATACAGCATGTTGTTTTGTCTCGTGGCAAACCAGTAACTTTGTGTAAGTACTTTCTGTCTCTCCCTTAAGCTTGCTTTGAAGAAGAACACAAAGCAGACTGTACTTTGACATATCATTTCATGTTCTGCTCTCCTGCGCTTCTTTTATTCTCCAGGCATTTACAGTACAGAGTATTAGGACTGCACATTATACAAGCCTCAGTTTGCTGTGCTTGTTTCTCCACAGCAAGACATTTACAGGTACCATACTGTCATCTCATAAAAATAGATCACTAAGTCTGAGTCCTTCTGTACTAGCTACCAGAACAGGTTTGTGTTTACGTGAGTTTGAATGTATACCAGAAATTATGATATACACTTTAAAACCAAACCATGTACCGATGAGTTATTATTTTCATGATGTACTTCATAAGCAGGATTGTAGATTTGTTGTACTGATTACTATTTTTCGCTTGTTGTGTAAAGCAATATTAAACTATCAAACTTTTGTTTGTCAATGATAATTCCAGATTAAAGGAGAATTATGAGGCGAGTGATTTTCACTCAGCCTCATAATCTGAGCCGACCTGTGACAATGAAACTGTAGCTTGCGGTATACTGAGCTTTGGGTGAAGGGAGGACGCTAGTTTGTGTCCTCCCGTTACCCTTAGGAGAACTATGGGGAAAAGCCCTAACCCCATAGTTCTTCTTTAACTACCTCCCGGCCGGCCGTTGTGTATTAGACATGTGCACTGCCAAAAAATTTGTTTAGTTTCGTTAGATGCTGAGCTTCATCAGCTTCTTCAGGGGGGTCCTAGGTGACATTAGGGGTCTTGGTATAAAATTCATTTCAGTACAGCGTTGCATGACGGAATAAATGCCAGTCAAAGTATCGCAGCGCTGAATACTGAAAAATGGCCCGGCCAGGAAGGGGGTCTAAACACCTGGTCTTCAAGCGGTTAAACAAATATATATTGCCCAGCAAATTATTTCTTTACACTTTGGGGTTGATTTACTAACCTTATAAACACACCACGAACATGTATACACCTCTGTAGTGTGTTCCATCCCAGCATGATCTATGGGTGGAATCTAAACACCTTTGTAGTGTGTACACACCCAGCAGGTGTGTTGTGCAAAGCCAAGCATGAATTGCAAGGTGATGTTGTGTAAATTAGCTCTATGTTGTGTTGCTTGCGTTGATGAATGCAGGAATGTAAATGCATGAGCTAACCATTTTTGTCTAAACTGTGAAGCAGCATTATATATGCATCACGTGCATGATTTTTCCATATATGGCATTAGTGGAAATATGCTTTTATAGACTTTTTGGTTGATAAATACGTTTTGCTGTGTAAAAATCACACGCACCTAGTGCGTGCGGGTGTTTAGGTTAGTAAATCAACCCCTTTGTGTCTATGCACTTACAGTGATCGTGTTTCCAACAGCTGGCTCCAACTCTCTCAGCTCCACTTGCCAGAACTTTCTGTCCAGTACAAGAATACAAGGGACAGAGTAGTCTCCAGCAGCTGTCTATCTACTACCATGGAGAAGGAGGAAGAAGGAGCTGTGAGGAGGGGAGTGGCTTGCCTTGCTGTTGTTTGTTTGTAGAGACACACCCACAGCTTGCTAGCATTGACAAGGGTGGTTCCAAAAGATCCTGCATGGGAACGGAGTAACCCTAAAATAGGATATCAGGACCAGTGCTTAGAGTATCAGCTTATTCTGTGCTGGTAATTAAAAAGTTTAGACATCAAGGAGCAGCATCCATTGTAAGTGATTTTATCTACCACAAGTCTATCTTAATCACTTACTTAATCACTGAGTAAGGATGAATTAATAATTTTCCTAAACTGGTATTAAACCTAGTTCCAGCAAATTGTGAGTAGCTGCATATTCACAAATATTGTCCAATAAAACAAGCAAATCTGACTCCTTATCCTAACCTCCTTTTTAAAAAAATTAACCATTGCAGTAGGGCTAGCCACGCACTGCAAGGATTAAGTGCTTGTTTTGGTCTAGGGGTGAGAATAAAAATGATACACTCACCTGATCCTCAGTCCTGCAGCAGTGACGGCACACCTCGGGTCCCTTCCTGTGCTGTTGTATGTCCACCTTTGCTGTGGTATGCCCCTCAGCAAGTTCATTAGACGTGATGGCATCACAAGTCCTTAGAGTGCTGGAGCCCAAGGGAGAAGAGGCTGTGGGGACTGGTCCTGCAGCCAGGCAGGACTAAGGTTTAGGAGAGTAGATTTTCTTTATTTTTATCCCTAGACCAAAACAAGCACTTAACCTTTGCAGTGCAGGGGTGGCCCTACTGCAAAGGTAATTTAAAATAATCCTGGAGTACCTTTTGACATAACTTGTTCATTTCAGAGAGTGAGGCTGTGAAGCCTGTGCCTACAATTTTTAATGGAGATATTAAGATGTTTAAAAAGGCAAAATGGTGAATATACAACCCAGCAAAATGGATCACATAACCAGATCCGATGGACCACCAGTGGTGCCAATTTTTAATGCAGAGATATGTCATGAACTACTTATAGTAAGCATGTATATTACCAGTGATACCTATCCTCTACTAGGTAGTATACTGTATACCTTTATTTCAACAGAATATATTGTAGAATATACAGTATTTCACATTTATGTTTCATTTTGTGCCAGCAGCCTAATTTGTAGTCTTAAAATGTTGTTACTATGCTAACTCAGGAGGATTTTCAAGGTTACTTGAATCGCTCTCAGAAATACTTAACAATAAAGGTGTGTAAAGGTCCTCAGTGTCCTCATGAACTCCATGAGGAGTACTCCATGAATACTGTCATACAGGGGAAACATGCATCCAACCAGACCTACAAATAAAACACACTTTGGTATGATATTGGAAAGAGTTGTAATTAAGTTGCAACTTTCTAATTACATACAGTATATAAAAGAGAGGTTGGGTGTTTTTTCTTTCTGGTTTTAGATACTTTCAGGGTCCCAACAGTAAAGTGCCTAAGCCAAACAAAGGGAATTTTATTTCTTTACAATCAAGAATCGCATACTTAGAACATCCCTCCTTCTCCCAACATACTGTACATCTCGAGTCCCTATCCTGGATTAATCTGCAGTGATCAGCATGCTCTCTTTTTTTTTTTAAAAAGACAATCAAGAAGTAGTGATTCAAGTCTCATGAATATTGTTAACAATCTTAGATTTTCAAGCTGCCATATTCTTACTCAACAGATAACATAACAGATTTCATATAATTTCGAAGAAACTATTGAAAGGAATAATGCTTGTTGAAAGGAATAATGACACTGATGCTGTATAATTAATAGTGTGTGTGTGTGTGTGTGTGTGTGTGTGTGTGTGTGCGTATTTTTCTACATGAAGCAAGAAATATAATGTGTTTTTTTTTGCTTCAGCAGCTAATTATTACTGTAGCTTTTAGAATGTTATTGCTTTTTTATGGGTTTCCTAATTGCTTTCCTTTGTATCTCAAAGCAGAGCTGTGAAATGGATTTGAACGTGAAAGACTTTAATAACAGAACAGCTACAAAAGAAGAGAATAGCACATTGGATACAACAACCACCAATTTTCCTGCATGGGAGGATTATAACAGCAGTGTGGACGACATACGATACTTTCTAATTGGGCTGTACACCTTTGTAAGCCTGCTCGGATTTATGGGGAATCTCCTTATTCTCTTGGCTATTTTCAGAAAGCGCAAACAGAAGACAATAATTAACTACCTCATTGGAAACCTAGCCTTTTCAGATATTCTGGTCGTACTCTTTTGTTCTCCCTTTACATTGACCTGTGTCTTACTTGACCAATGGATCTTTGGTGAAGTCATGTGTCATGTTGTGCCTTTTCTCCAATGTGTTTCTGTTCTCATCTCCACCTTAATGCTCATGTCTATTGCCTTGGTGAGATACCATATGATTAAACATCCTCTCTCCACCAATTTAACTGCCAATCATGGGTACTTTTTGATTGCCACTGTCTGGACTCTAGGCTTCACAATATGTTCTCCTTTGCCAGTTTTTCATAAAATTATAAATTTGAGAGAAGCGTTCAACTTAGAGCCCTTGATGAATAGTTACCTGTGCATTGAGTCCTGGCCCTCTGATTCATACAGAATTGCCTTCACTATATCATTATTACTTGTGCAGTACATATTGCCACTGTCCTGTTTAACAATAAGTCATACAAGTGTATGCCGGAGTATAAGTTCAAGGTTATCAAAAAGAGATGTTAAAGTTGAAGAAAATGAAATGATTAATCTGACCCTTCAGCATCCTAAAACTAACAGATCTGTTGTGGAAATCTGTAGTAGTCGAAGGTGGAGCAACTCTTGTGTTCGCAAACACAGAAAGCGATACAGCAAAAAATCAGCCAGTGTTGTCCCAGCAATTCTGAGAAGACACCAAGAGAGTAACACTGGGGATATCCCAGAAACATCAACCACAGAAAGGAGTCATACCTTGCCCTCTAGTGTTCACACTTTACCTTCCACTGTTTATTTACCTGGAGTACCCATATGCTTTGAAATGAAGCCGGAAGAGAATTCTGAACTAAGCAACATGAACTCTGTCTCAAAATCCATAACCCGAATAAAAAAAAGATCTAGGCGTGTTTTCTGCAGGCTGACAGTATTGATCTTGGCTTTTGCTGTCAGTTGGATGCCACTTCACCTTTTTCACCTTGTAACTGATTTTAATGCCAACCTCATTTCCAATCGACATTTCAAATTAGTTTATTGCATCTGTCACTTGCTTGGTATGGTCTCCTGTTGTCTAAATCCCATACTCTATGGATTTTTAAATGATGGCATTAAGGCAGATTTGATGTCTCTCATCCAGTGTTTCCAGATATCATAGGCTGGAATCCAGCTATTATTTTATTTCCTGTAAAACTAAGATGCAAAAAGTAACTACAGGGTTGAGTCAGACACAAGTTGATCTAGACTAAAACTTAGCCATGCGCTAGCATAAATATCCAGTACTTACCTGCTGAACGTTAGTCATCAACTAATGTTATCATCACATAAAATGTATATTTGCAGACAGGTTTACAGTATGGCATATGATCTCCATGAGGTCATTTTCTATTTTTTTTACAAATGTAAAAATAGCATACAGTATGTACAACTCTTGTTTTTGTTCCTCTTACAGTTTATTTACCCGGTAACTATGTATGCATTTATTTAAGTTATGTTTTCTATGAATTACATTTATTAATTGAATTAACTATAAAATGATGCATCATATGTAAGTGAAAGTTTATTTAATAGATTTAAGACATTGTACAGGAACATTTACATTTATGTTTATTAGATTAATATAAATGTGTTTGCAAAAAACAGATATTAGCTTTGGATTTGCAGTCATTTCAAAATGTTTTTCCTACTAATACAGTTTTTTCGTAAACAGAATAATATTTATTTGTGCAAGAGTTATGTCATACTGTGCATTGCTTGCAGAATCATTAGAAAGTCTGGCATAATAGTTGTGCTTTTAATGCTTTCTAATTTTTTACATTTTTTTTCATACTGCTTTTGCAGAGCTTTGCCATTCTGACAAAAAAATGTCCCTTGTTGTTTTAGTGCAACTTATTATGAATAAAATGCTATTCCTATATTACAAAAGTGTCAATTTTATCACTTTCACATTAAACACAAATCACAATATTTAAATAAAAAAAAACAACCCACTCATTTAGATTGATCCACATAAGTGTTTTATGCTTTCTGTTCATATTCATGTGTAGGATTAGTTTGTAATCATTTTCCCTCATGCCCATAAATAAAATGACATTTTAAAACTGAGCTGTGGTAGACCACCTACCTTAGATAAGGGACATACAGCTACTTATGTTCCAAACCATTGAACAGAGTGGCTGATGTTTAGTCTCATGTTAGGATAGAATTACATTAAAATTTGGTCTTACTCGTCCTGCTAAAGCAACTGTTTAATACAGGCGAACAAGGTAAACTGCATCTACTATGCAAACACATGATGGCTTTCCTATCTTGGGAGAAAATAAAGCCAGGGACTGTGATCACCATGGAACAGAAAGACTCCTGGGGAGGAAAATTTGGAAGAGTGCCTAGCCTGCTAAACAGCAAGTCTAAGAGCACTAGTGACAGCTGTCATATTGCTGCAAGTGAACAATTTTTTTGAAAAATGCCCTTCTACTACATCACAAGAAGAATTCCAGTATCTTGCAGTCAGCCATGTGAGTGGGTCCTGCTCTATCACCATCGGGCCAAAGCTGGACCCTAATTGTCTCTTCTGCCAACTGAGTGTTGGCAGAAGAAGGTTGAGCTGTGAAGGTATCACAACTCAGTCAGTTGGAAGTGATCTTTCTTTTCTTTGAGTACTGCCATAAAGTGCGGGATCCATGGCAGCTGGATCCCTAGAAGAGGATGGTGATTCCCACTATGCCTGACAACAAGGTGTGAGTGCTGGGTTTAATTAACGTAGAGTTAAGCAATGGTACCCCTTCCCAGCCACGCAAAAAGCCCCTGAGTGCGCTAGGCAAGCATGGGCTTACTTTAGCAGTGCGCCTGTTGAGATCTTGTTAGTAGTAAGAGGTGTCTGAATTAAAAAAGATACTCCCCCCTGAGGTGCTATGTGGCTTGAGCAGTAAGGCTCCATTCACACATAGGGGTCTATTGACGAAGCTGCCGAAGGATCTAGCCGTAGCTTTGGCCGATCCTTCGCTAGTTTCGGCCCCAGGACCCCTTCGGTTCTGGGGCCGAAGCTAGCCGAAGGATCGGCCAAAGCTACGGCTAGAACCGAAGGGGGGCTGTATGGATTCGGCCCCAGGACCCCTTCGGTTCTGGGGCCGAAGCTAGCCGAAGGATCGGCCGAAGCTACGGCTAGAACCGAAGGGGTGCTGTATGGGCTATTCACTATAGCCCGTACAGCTCCCAAACCTGGCTGATTGGCTCAGTCGAGCCGAACCCATCGAGCCAAAGCCTGCTTCTGACAGCTGGACGGAGCCAGCCGTGATCTTACGGCTGGCTACGGCCACTTGCAGAGAGATCAGCGTCCCCGGTTACCTGCTAACCAGGGACACTGATCTCCAAACAGCTAACTCTCCCTGGTGCCCCGGGAGTCTCCTGCTCCCGGCCGCCCAGGAGAGAAACACTGCTGTTTCTTTTTTTTCTTTATTCTGTCACCTGGATCGATGTCAGAATAGAAAAAAAAACATTCCCATTGAAATGCATTGCTACATTACTATTGGCTATTTTAATTTGCAATAGCCAATAGTAAACTAGCATTGTACCCGCCCTCTGCTGCAGTTCTACATCAGGTCCATCAGCAGAGGGCAGGTACAATGCTAGTTTACTATTGGCTATTGCAAATTGAAATAACCAATAGTAATGTAGCAATGCATTTAAATGGGAAAAATTCTTTTTTTTTTTTTTCTATTCTGACATCGCTCCGTGTCAGAATAAAGAAAAAGAAAGACACAGCAGTGTTTCTCTCCTGGGCGGCCGGGAGCGGGAGGCTCCCAGAGCGCCTGGAAGAGTTATTTTTTTCTGGCAGAGCTGCCGGACAATAGGAAGCTATTGGGCGGAGCTAGCTGTCACTGCTAGCTCCGCACAATCGTTTTCTATTTACTTTTTTAAACTTTTTTAACTCTTTTTCTGTTCTGCTCGGTTCCTCTGAGGGACCGAGCAGAACAGCCGAGCCGAATGCCGCTCAGCGGCATTTGGCTATTCACTCATTGCTGTTCGGCATCTATGAGAATAGACCGAACAGCAGTGAGTAGCCTGCCGGAGGGTCGGCTCAGCCGATCCAGATGTTGGATTGGCTGAGTCGAACTCCTTCTGCACTTCGGGTCGACCGAACATGCTGAGCATGTTTGGCCGACCCGAAGCCATGTGAAGCAAGCCGATGTATGGCTGATTTCAGCCGATGTATGGCTGAAATCAGCTGTACCAGCCTGAAGTGAATAGCCGAAAAGTGTTCACTTCACTTCACTTGGGGTCGGTTGTTCACTCGGCTGCCCTCGGCAGCTTAGTGAATAGACCCCATAGTGGTAGCGTTTTCTGTGCAGCACGAAAGCGTGAAAACTTTAACATATGCATGGATAACCGGACTGCATGGAATCCGCCCAGAATATAGCACTGGACTTTTTACGCAACGCGCACTTTCTTACCACGCAGATGTTATTTTTCTGTTTAGCGTGTTTGCGCTAATGTAAGAATGGAGCCTTAGACTGCCTACATACTGCTATAACTAATAAGGATGGAGAAACATAATACCATGCTGTACTAGCCCCACACAGCCTGGCTACTTGTTTACTATCAGGGCACAAGAATGTTGCTGCTGCTTGTTGTCTTGTCTGCCAGCTGCACTGACACCACTGAAATCTCACAATCTATTATCTCTGTGAATCAATCTTACTGCTGGCTGCAATACCTAAGCACCTGTACAAACTTATATCTGCCTGTACTGGAGGTATGCTACAGGACACTGGAGGAATGTTTATCATAAGCAAATGGGACCTGCTGGTCAGCTGAAAACACATTAAAAAAATGGATCATAGGGAATAAAGATGCTTTAATCAATTCACTTACTTGTGCCTATGCCTTAGCTGTTTTTGGTGACTCTTTCTGCTGCCTATCATCACTTCCTGGTACATTTCTTCTTTCTCCTACCCTGGGTTTTTTCATTGTTGTTCATTTCATCAATGTTTTTAAAGTTTCACACTTCATATACCTTCTGTATAATTGTCAAACATGAATGTACCTGTTGTCTTCACTCCGTCACATGCTGGTAGAACAAAAGACCTTTTAAGATGTGCTCAGTTTGATTCAGTACTCTGTGAGCTTGCCTCGTGTCACCTTTTAATCTTTCTTCTTCAAAGATAGGTCTGCATTTTATTGCCGCTGTTTAACGCTGATCGATTATGAGATAAATATGTATGGTGCCATCTGCGATTACTAGTTACCTGGCTGTAATTCTCTGACCCGAACTAGTATGCAGACCAATAAAGTCAGTGAAAAATTAGCCATCCTTATCTATTCCTGTTTCAGGTCAATGACTCTCAGTGCTTAAGGAAGGGAGTAGGCCAGGTGATTAACATTTTCAAGGGAATATAGCGAACTCCAAGTTTATCTCATAACAGGATTCCTTTAACTATATATAACAACTCACATCTGTATATAACAGTTGTCAAATATCTTTAACTGACTGTCCCTTTCAATTCTGCCAGTCCCATTAACTTGTTTAACTCCTGCCTTGGGGCTTTGCAGAACTCAAACAACTAGCTAATACTATTGTAGGGATGAAGTGTTTTTGTATTTTTGTAATCTGTTAGTAAGATGTTATCTTATCTGTATGCTGGCCAATGTTCTTTAAGTATGGAATTATTATCTCAGTCACATCCTGTATTGAGCTTGCTCCAGTGTGTGCTAGAGATAACATATTTCTTTGTTAAGGATGTGTAATATCTGGCCTATAGCAGGTTTTGGGGCCGGCTGTGCATGCTAGGAGTGTTAAATGTCTAAGGCACTTCCTGGCACTTGGATCTTTCCGCCTGTGTTTCGCTCTGAGAGGATGCATCTGTTACCATCTGTCTTGTCCTTAGGCCTTGGGGCCTAAGGGTGTGGGAAGTTGCAGGGCTCTTCCCTCTTGGGAGGCCTCCCTGAAGATGCCAGCTGCCACAGAGTGCTGTTAGGCCTTGAGGAAGCAGAACTGCAGTTGCTCCCCATAAGGAGGTGATAAGTGATGGACTGAGTTGAAAAGCACCAAAGAAACCTTCCCATTGCTATCCTGCCTTGAATCTTAAGACTGAATAAACATTTGAATCTGAGTTGTCAAGGAGACAACTTTGAGTTTAACAGGGTTGTTCACTGAAGGGTGAAGAGTTTGGAGAAGGCAGGAGAAGTGAACAATGTGGAAGAACATAGCTGAACTGGAAAGTGAGTTGAATTGGAGATTTTCCCAAATCAGCTATTTTGTCCTAGATCGTTCACTTCTCCTGCTTTCTCCAAACTCTTCACTCTTTAGTGAATAACCCTATACACTGAGTGGCCAGATTATTATGACCACCCCATCAGTACTTTGTTGGGCCACGAGATGACTCCATGAGATGACTTTGTTGGGCCGCCTCGTGACTCCACGAGATGTTGAAAGGTGATGCGAGG